ATTCAAATGATAAAGGCACTATTTCAAAAATCGGAAACTTTTAAAATTAAAACCCTTAAATAAAAAAGTACACGAGGAATATTAAGAAAAATTGAAAAACAAAACATCGATCGCTAATCCCGCAACAATCCCCGACATTGTTCCCGATCCACCAGACATACCCATATTTATATACCTATCGTTTCTCCTCCAGAAACAAACCTCCTTTCTCGTATTTCCGTGGCCCATAACTCTTGGGTGTGGGGGTCGGCGTACGTGGAAACTGACGTGCTACCAAGGAAACGAGGTCCGCGGCGATAAATCAGCGGATTCGTTAGCGGAATCTTCCTGAATCCATTTGTCCCGGGAGCCCGGTGTCAGCCCAACTAGATCCCGCTGTTTCGACAACACGGTGTCGTGTTCGAGCGGCCGACCTCGCCGTCTCGCTTCTCCCTCTCCCTTTCTCTGTCGCTCGCTCGCTCGCTCGCCAACGTTTCCTCCCTCGTGACCGGTGCTACGCGCATCTGCACGCTTCATTGAACATTCCGCGCGCGAAACATTGTGCAACCCGCGCGGCTCAGCTAGAGCAGAACGGCCGCTGCATCGATATTTATGGATCTCTCTCGTGCGCACCGAAAGTGTACGGCCGCGATTTTTTCCCCTATCCTCAGAAAAACGGAACGATTTGCGGCGTGCGCCTGCCTCCGCTTCGCCTATCCGTTAATTAAATTTATCGGTCTCATGGCGGCACGCTTTTTCTTCATTTTCACAAGTATACGGTGCGTATACGCGTATACGTGTGCCTTGTAAGAAGTCTCGTCGAGAAATGAGAATTTTGAATAGGTAATGTGTATATATATATTATATATATATATATATATATTGTAAACAAATGATTAAAGTAATGTGTTTGAAATAGTGTTATGAAACGATTGTTCGATGTCATTTGTTATTAACGTGTTTTCGATAATCGCTCGAGGAATATGGATATTGTTATAAAAATAAATATATGTAAATTATATGTAAATGATCTCTCGTTGAAAATTTATACTATTTTTGTAATGAATATTCCACTCGCGTGCGCTCAGGAGACCGAAAGGTGGTCAGAGAATGAAACGATCGGCAACAATTTGCATCTGTTCATGGTCCACGCTTTCGCCTATCCGTTAATTAAATTTATTGGTCGCATGGCGGCTGACCTTTTGCCTGCTTCCACCGGACGCGTGTCCCGTACACGTACACGTATACGGGCATACTATACACGTACGTGGCAATCATAAATTTCTGGATGCTTGATTTATCGGTTTACCCGATCGCGGCGTTGATCCCGCGCGTAGGTGTCTCCATACGCCGCGAGGGAATGATTAACGCTCGATGGACGCGATTAAGCGGTTGTTGTACAGCGGAATTCGCGAAAGCTTGGAATTGATTGTCGTCGAGATTGGATCCAGCTTCGAATAATTCGCATTCGCTTTATGGATTCTCTTATGGATGGTTTTGAATAAAATCGTTGTTAAAATATCGTGACAATTGTTTGATAATTTACCAATGCTACGACGAAAGTTCGAGCGAATAGTTTAAACAGCGATTAAAGATTTGGAAACGTTGAGCTTGATTTTCAGTCAAAAGTCTAGAATCGAAGAATTCGTTGCTACCAAATATATACATAATTAATAATATATATAATTCATTAAATTTTTTAATTTTTATATATTGGATTAAGAGCCTCCATTATTGTCGCGAGTGAGAAGGAAAATCTAGGGAAAGTCATAAATTTTTTCGACAGCTTCCGGTCGAATATATCGAACAACTTTTCTGTTCTAAATTTAATAAACCGGGACAAAAAATGCTGAAAGCCCCGTAAAAAAGCGGCGCACAATGGCGCTGAAATCGAGTTTCGAGCTCTCGTAAATTGCACGTTTGACTGGATTCGAAGGGCACGGGGTCACGTGTCGCTCGAACAAGGAGAAGGACATTTTTATTCCTCCTCCCTCACCTTTCACCTTTTCTAAACCCACCCCTCCCCCGCCCTCGCGTATGCACGCGTGAATGCGGTCTACGCGTTGGATTTCACGTTGGATCGTGCCCCTCCACCGACTCACCAGCCTGGATTTATCGGCCGGGAAAAAGGCTCGCAGGGGTATTCTCGTAATCCTTTGCTTGTGGACCACGTTGCCGGCCCCTTTGATGCGTGGGCGTGGGCCACGCAAATCGAATCGGTCGCCGTCTCATCACGTTCCGTCCAAATCACAGCCATTCCGCGTAACCGAGTCCGATTATAATTTATGCCTCTCACTCGTCTTCCATCGGCTTCCGTCGTCTCACCTGCACTTTCGACCGATAAAAAGAGAAGAGATTCGAAATCACACGAAAGAAGAGGGGGCTTTTATCAGAGGCTAGCAATCTTCGAGAAAAAATTTTTTTGAAAGAACATTGTATAATTTCCTCGAAGTATAGATGAAATAGGTGATCGTTGAAGTAGACACGCATCATTTGATCAAGTTTTAAGTTAAAATTTGAGGAAAGAATTCGATAAAGTTTTCGTGCATCTAGTTTCTTAACAATTTTCATGTTATCTATCAAATTATTATTATTAATAATAATAAATTTCTTTCGTTTCGATTCACTTTTATAATAATAATTGCAAGTATAATTAAACTTACGATAATAAAAATTAAACTATAGCAGGATCGTTTTAGACAACGAGCTTTGCATGTTTCGTAACGTGTACACGGTTAATTCCTATGGCGTACACGGTGTTATGAATAGCGAGAACGTGTGCAATGAATCGTGCAGCGCGTGCAACTCGTGGAAAGGATATTCTATAGAAATCTGGGTTATTCCGCGCATCCGACGTTGATTATAATTTATTCCGGTCCCGGGCAGAAATGCTTCCGTCGTCGGCGAAATAATCTCTATCTTCGAGATCGTGTTGCAATACATCACGAGTCGTGATTCCATCCGTGCTCAGGATGTGAATCTCTGCTATGATTTACCCAGATATATCTCTTTCCCCAATACTCAATAATCTTCTCGATAAATACACTAAATATTATTTTCTTTGGATAAACCTTTTCGACGTTTCGTTGATTATCAGATTTCTCGAAATGTTGAAATTTAGAAAAAAAAAAGAAATTAATAACTATTCCAAAAGAATCCAAATATCTCAACTTACTATTTATTAACGTATTACTCGTTATATGATTGATAACAAAATTAAAATTAAAATTCAAAGGACAATCTTTCCTACGATATCTGTCTTGTTCGATTAAATAAACGTTGCTACTAAAAAGCAATCTTTTTCTACTTACTTAAATAAATAATACTTACTTAAGTAAAATAACGTTTGAGAAAGAGACGTTTCCTCCTCGCGTTTCACACAATTCTCCAAACTTGGAGACGCAAGTGCGGAAAGGAGGGATTCACGTGGCCACCTTCCGCGACCTACGAATTTACGAACATCCTGGAACCTACCACTGGATCCTCCCTTCCCCCTTTCGACATGTATCGCATCCAGACCGACACAAATACGAACGTTTCGCTGTCGACACGCCACGGGCATGTTTTCTCAGCTGGTGCCCTAACTCTCGATCTCGAACGATCCTCCCTACCCCGTGCACCTTAGCCAGATCCTGGTGGATCCTTTCAAGACACGGTCGGCTACCCACAAAGGATCTGCCCTTTCATACGCACGTTATTATACTCTTTACAGAATATCCGTTCCACCTTCTCCCTCGTTCGAGCGAGTAGAGGAACGAGGGAAGAAGAGGTAGAAGAAGAGATGGAAGGAAAAAGGAGGACTCTCTCTGTCTCTATATATACGTATATATATCTCTCTCGGATAACTAAGGCTTGCGTGTTGGTGTTTTACGCCGTGTGTACGTGCATATACGCCCACGCTTTGTGAAGATCGAGAGAGCTGGAGGGCAGGGTGGACGTTTCGACGAAAGCCTCGAGATTTTCTCGTTTAATTTGTTGTTATAGCTGCTTGAGACGCGAGGATCGGCCCATCCCCCTCGATCCTCAAACATTCATTATGTTTTTTTGTAACACATCCACCAACGCGACTGGAATTGCGGCTTTTACGCGCCACCCTGCTCGCTCCTCCGGAGATCTGTATTTCGCCTGTATCCGTCCTGTGTGTACGCCCGTCTTTATTAATAGAGGGAAGAAAAAGGGATGGATCAGAGGGTTGCCGTTGTGCACGAGGGCGGAGGCTGCGAAATGTGAACGATATATATTTAGAAAGAGGTAAGAGATGAAATATTAATTTTCTATTATTCAAGATGTTTCGTATAGAATTGTGCTTATTATGATTATGTTCTTATTTTAGAAATGTTGGAAGACGAAATTTGTGAAAAAAATAATTTTACAATGCATGAATATTCTTCGCATATATTTCCACATTAAAATCAGCGTATAATCGCGTAACACTATATAATTCTATAATTTATCATGTAAATTTTGTACCACGAAAAATTGAACCTTTTCACAAAATAAATATATATATATATATATAAACGTAATGCGATAAATCCATACTCACATCGCACGACATATTTTTCAGCTTGCACTAAGAACGATATGACGATATATAGAACAGATAGAAATTGCACTTGACGAAACTCAATCGAGCAATTGATCGCATCTTATCGACGGCTGCGTCACGGTTTTGCATCTGATGCGATTAGAAGGCGGTATTATCGCGGTCCATTAACGATTGTTTGTTAAGAAAGAGCAAGTCAATCTTCCACGTTCGACGAATCGTGATGAATGCAGCTCAGACAGCCTCGAAAATCTAGTGAACCGTTTACAGGGCCTAGGCGGATCCCTTCTGTCCGATTTGCCACATTTTCCTCCTCCCTCTCTTCTCTGTCAGATCTTGCTGTTACCTTCTCCAGACGAGGATTGGCAAGATCCTTGGATTTCAAGGAGAAAGAGAAAAAGAAAGAGAGAGAGAGAGAGAGAAAGAGAGAAGCGTACTTCCCTCTGAGAAATTATTCTTCGATAAGGATGGCTCGTTAATATCTTCCTACACGATTCGTAAACGTGCTGAGGAAAACATGGCGAGCGTCTCTGGAAGGAAACACTGGCCCCATGCATTCCAAAAGAAGAGGATTTCTGTCTTTCACCGCTGTTTTAAAATCGTCTTCCGATATCATCCCATCGCGATCCACGTCCAATTTTTTTATTAACAAATCTATCAAATCCTGTACAAAGGAAAAATGTATTGGCAATGTTTTAGAAAAATAGATTGAATATAAATGTAACACATTTTTTTTTTTATTTATCGCACAATAGAATCTCAGAATCAGTAGAAATTGATATGAGAATCAGGACAAGGTTTCTTCAAGGAATTTAAATTAAAGGCGAGATAGAAAATAAATATATTATTAAGGTTGTTACCTTCACGGCTTCGTCTGGGTTTTCATCGTTTTGCAGTTTAATTAAGCAACCACGCATCATGGGAAATATGTGCTCCTTTTTTAATTTATGAGTTCTGAGATGATCGTATGTCTGTTAAATTAAGAAGGGTAGTATAGAAGAATGGATTAATTAAAAGGAACAATAAAGATTGAGAAATATCGAGTTACTTGATAAGCAAAATGAATCTTCTCCTCTATAGTTCCCCGAAGAATCACCGAAAGACTTTCGATCCAATTGTCACAGTGTATCTAATTGGAAATTATTCTTTGCGATAATCGATCGATTTAACCATCACCCTTGGTTTAAGTTGATTATAATATTTCATAAAATATTAATGTTACCTGTAAAGCATTACGTTTGTCGATTACTGAAAATATTTTATCGATCAATAGATGGCGAATATTTTCCGTGAAATCGAAACCAGCATGGAACAAATCTCGAAATAGTATTCTGCTTATGGGACCCATTATCTGAATGCATTTTCGATGAATAATTGCCAAGGCTGTTCGAAAAGTAAATCGAATTAAAGAGAAGAGGAAGAAAAAAAATTGGTGGTGGTTACTGTAAATTTCTAACCTTCAACTTCTCTGTAATTGAAATGCGTGTTCCGTGCCAATCTTTTAAATTTATTTACGTTTTTTGTCCTAAACACGATCTCCGCTAGAGTATCATTTAACATATCAACCGCCTGTTCCGCCGGCATTTTGATTACTTTCTTTTATACTTGTAAATTTTGAATATAAAATTTTGAAATTTAACGAAAGATGTTTGTCCCTTGAATGATGCCACGTATCATTGGATTCGATTCTTTTTAAGAAAAAAATCGATACATACTTCTATTTTTTAAATTTAACTGTTTCGAGTATTTCGACGATGTTAAGGCATGTTGAATTTATAGTATTGATTAATTTATTTGTAATATTAAATTTTTTATTGTAAATTTATTTGAAATATAAAGAATTCAGAGTGTCTTTCATCGGCCCATTAGCTCAGTTGGTTAGAGCGTCGTGCTAATAACGCGAAGGTCGCGGGTTCGATCCCCTCATGGGCCAAGTATTCTTTTTTGCAATTTTCAAATATTTGCAAATATTTACGAAAAAGTTATTTATAGATGTCGAGCTTTATCGCTCGATAACAATTTGTCTTCAGTTTCCCTTATCACGTACATTCTCACATACGTTTATCATTGTATTTCGTGTTTCATTATTTATAACCAACAATTTTCATTATATTCGTTTAAATTTCATAGATTTATATAATCAATATATCGTTTACACGCTACCAATTTCGCAATCTCGTGATAAAAGTGATAAGAAACGGTTGGTTACGAAACGTTACGTCGCGATAACACGTTCAAATACAAACAGATGTAAACAGATTCGTTTAATCTCTTTTATCGCTAAAGAAACTCGTAAGAAAGATTACATGTAAATAAATAAAGCAGGATTTGTCGCGAAATAATTCACAATAAGAAGAATGTCATACAAGATTCTCACGCGTGTCCCATAAAATCCAAGCGAGAAATAAAACGAAACGATGATCGGTGGTTCCGATCGTCGTAAAGAAAGGCGCCGATAAAATGTCGTCTAATGATATCGTTCAGAGATAGCGAGGTAATAAACAAGGCGCAAAGCCACGGGGATTTCGTGGATCTCGTGTAAAAACGTGGAAATGGTTTGAAAGATCATCCGCAAGGGTGAGCACGAGGCGTTCTGAGGACCATTGGTCACGTGGAAGGGGTTGTCGACACGGTGACTGGAATACCGAATATGGGAATTCGTGGTCCGGCAAGAATAAAAACAGGAGTGGAATACGAAGTTTTGGCCTTTTCCCGTGTTACATGCGAATTGTCGCATGATTTCGAGGAACAGAACGGAAAAAAGATATTAAGATTCTTGAAGGATCGATGCATTGAGCTTACTTTTATCAAAATCATATATATCATTACGTTTCTATGAATTTCTGTTAACTTCAGAAATAAAAAAAAAAAAAAAAA